TGAAGAGGTGCAAAACACTACTGAGGTCTTGCCCTTTGAGGGAACATAACTGTTCAGTGAATGTACCAACACCTTGAATTACCTCCAGAGATTTCAGGACTACACTATGCTCTTTGGCCATATATGCATCAGCCCTGAACTGCAAGCCTTTAAGTATCAAGGGCAGTCTAGGCAGAAGATGCCTACCTACTCCCAGAATAGATCTTCTGAATACCAACCTAGGAAGAAGCCAAATATTCCAGAAGAAACTGTTTCCTTTCTTGACCAAAGGTGTGTTCATATCTGCTTCCAGGCAGCATTTTTGACATGAGTATTGAGACCCACACTGTAATCTCCCAAGAGGTGATCCCTAATTTGAATATTGCCTTGCACCTTTCCATCAGATTTGGTCTGTTATAACAATGGACAGATGGGTGATGAAGTAGATATGCAGGGCTATGCCATCCAGTTTCACTGCTTAGCCCCTACCAACAGTCTTTCCTTGTCTTCCTTCAGGAGCCCTTCTCACAAAGCCAACTAAAAGAAGTGGCGTCTCCATTTTGACTAGGAGCCATAGAAGAGGTACCTCTGGAAGTACAGAAAAGAGGCTTCTACTTGTGATATTTCTTTGTCTCAAAGAAAAAAAAGTGTTCTTCATCCAATCCTAACCTGAGAAGACAACAAATATATATGCCATTACAGGTGCAAGATGGTAACATTTGCTTCCAATAACCTCTCCCTTCAGGCTCAAGATTAGCTTTTGACCTGCAGGACGCATACTTTCATATCCCACAGGCAGTGTCTGTGATTCTGAGTTGATGAGTGCTCCAGTGCCCACCTATTCTGTTGCTCATAGCTTTTACTAGAAGAATGAAATAAACAAGAATCTGTTCAATTTCACTACAGCTATTCAGAAAGCTGTGGGCAGTACTGAAACAAACAATTATGTCCCTCTCTGTTGCTACCTGGGAAAGTTCTGAACAGTATAAAAATGGGTACTCTAATTAGTCACAGATTAGGAGCCTAGTCCGTCTTCTAGCACTTCCCCCCAACCCAAAGCAGGTAGGGAGAGGTAGATTATTTACCCCCTTGTTAATTTGCAGCAGCTGTCTAGGTATCAGAATAGTGGAGACTCCACCATTATGCATGAAGCAGCAAAGAAGTGAGCTTCCTTCCATTTGCTGGAGTTGTACAGGAATCTGCACATTTATCAAACACCTCCTGGCTTGAGGCTTATATTTTAAAGGGAACCCTAAAGCAAAGTGTAGGTATAGCACTCTGGCAGAAATCTCAACTCCTTCTTCCTAGCATTTGCAGCTATATAGTCTGGTATCTTACAAGGCCATTTCCCTGGACCTCATAATTTGGGGAAATGCTTTAACATTCATATCAGCCTCTGGACAGTAGGTCAGTAGTATACCTCTCGAGCCCTAGAGACATTTGAATCTAAAAAGTGGCATCCATTCACATAATGATGAATGTAAAGGTGTGGTACTCTATACCGGTATACAGGACTCCGAACATAACCATTTTATTGCATTCAAAACAATAATAAATTGTTACCCTTTTAATTTAAATATTCTGGCATAATTGTTCTGTTTTTTTGCTCACTATCACTAACATTAACACCCTCAGATCATGCGGGAAAGCTCTTTTCATAGTGGTAACAGTAAATGTTGTTTGTTCAGCATTATTGGATTGGGGATGTCAAACTCATTTTTCAAAAGGCTGATTTCCATTTTAATTATGGTCAGTGGCTTAAATTTAGGACCCTTGGTCCTCAGCAGAACCCCTATTGATGTCACTGGGAGGTTCGCACCAAGATCAAAAGTAGGATATGGCCGGATGGATTTGATTTAAATCAAATTGATTTAAACCATGATTTAAATCACTAGTCAAGAAGACTCAATTTAATCATGGATTTCTACATAAAAGTGCATTCTTGTTGGTTGTTATAACCTTAATACATATCCTTAATACATATCACAACTCAGAGATAGATGTAGGTTTCATTTTTAGAAGGTACACACTATACATTTTTAAAGTACTTTATTTTGAAAACTTTTCAGATTAGTTTTACAGCTATATCAGAAAATGAATGATTGTTTGGTTATTTCATTTACCAAAGGTAATTGAAGCAGATATTTATGAAGTTAGTTCACCTCCCACTATCTCCAATTCAACAGGTTAATCATTAATATTTGGAGGATTTTCCTGCTATGCTGTATTAGGAGGAGAACATCACCACACAGACATTTAAATTGTTTTATTTAACTAAAACAACAATGTTATGTATTCTGGATTTTTTTCTTCAACAGCAAACATATTCATATCAGCCTCTGGACAGTAGGTCAGTAGTATACCTCTCGAGCCCTCCCCCCATTTCTTATAGCTTTTACTGCTACTTCTTGTAAGTATTCTCCTGTGTGTGCATTTCCCGATGTATCAATTGTTTCTGTAAGCAAGACATTCCCTTCTTCTGTTGTCAGCCAAGCACATACCACAGGATCATTGTGGACATTTTTCCACCCATCAAGACTCAGGTTAACAATTTTACCCTCTAGACCTTTTGCACACTGCTCAATTTCTCTTTCATACACTTTATCCAGCAATTTGCCTGTGACATCTGCTCTGTTGGATGGACTGTATCCTGGTCTTAATGACTGAACCATGTTCATGAAGTGTGGGTTCTCAATCATATGGAAAGGAAGAGTTTGTTGCATAAACAAATTGGGCAATTTTCCCCATCAATTACCTCTTTTTGTAATCTGCTGTTCTTATCACAAATTTATCTATGGTTGTTTCTGGATGATAGAGATTTTTTCTTCTTTTTCCTACAGGTGATATACTGTGGCTATGTGACATACATGATGTGACTGAAACACTATTATTGGCAGATAACTCTGAAACTGTAGAAAATGATGGTGATCTTAAAGGTGGATAGTCTTCAGAATCCTGTATGTTGAGGATGGATTCTCCTAAACAAAATAAGTCAATGCAGTTATTTAATTATTATTACCATACTGCTCATTTAGTATCTCATACTACTCATTGCATTCACTGACACTCAGTATTACTTTAAAGGTGAAATTGTAAAAGGAAGATCTGCCTATTTCAGCTATTTATTTTTTAATCACAACTGCATCTAAAATGATAGTACCATAGAGTAACAACTATATTTTTTGCTCAAACATGAGAATTCAAGAATAGTCCAGAAGGAAGACAGGCAGTCCTTAGGAAAGAAGTATGAAATAAAAAAGTTTACCAACCCGAAGATCCTGTATGTTCAGACATGTTCCTTTCGTCATCTTCAGCGCGGCTTCCTCCTGAGAAGGAACACTTCTCATGATGTTGTTTCATTTGGGCAACCAGGCCTTGCATTTCTTTGTTGCAATGTTTGCATTTTGCACGCATGCCTGTCTCACCCACAGGTAGAGGAGCTTCATTAAAATATTCCCAAACTGGTTCTCTTTTATGGCCTGCTGCCATTATAGGTTTTCCCTTCTAGTGAGAGAATGGTATGGTAGATCTCAAATCAATGACGGTGTAGCAGGGTGGTCACCCACGCCAGTTCTGGAAGGGTTAAAGCCAGCCCTGGGAGAGGGCTGAGGCTGCAAAGGAAAGCCTGGGCTGATTGGGAAAGGTAGTAACAGCTGGGGCCATACTCCAATCAGCCCCAGCTGGTCCCTATAAAAGGCTGTGAGCCAGCAGCCCAAAGACTCTCTCTCTGCTTGTAGAGGGAGAAGGGCCTGGCTGCTAGGGAGCTGAGCAGGGCTGGAGGAAGGCTAGAGGAGCTCGGGAGTTCCAGCCTGGAAAACCCCCAGGCTGCAGGCCTAGCTGACAGCCTAAGACAAAGACTGGGGTTGCAAAGGGGCAGCCCAGCAGTAGGTAGAGGCAGCAGGTCCAGACTCACCTCGCCTCAGTCGTAGGCTACTGCCAGTCACCAATTTGCCCCCACGCACTGGTGCAGACTGCAGTGTAAGCCACTCATCATAGGCAAGGTTGGGTCTGGACCTGCAGCCTCTGCCTACCCATGGGCTGCCCCCTGCAACCCCAGTACCGAGTTGGCCTTCTACTAGGCTGCAGCCTGGGGGGTTTCCAGGCCAGAGCTCCCAAGCTCCTCTTGCCTTCCCCCAGCCCTACTCCACTTTAGGTACGTTCCCTAGCAGCCAGGCCCTTCTCCCTCTAGAGGGAGAGTGTCTCTGCTCCTAGCCCACTGCCCTCTCGTAAGGGCTAGCTGGGCCCTGATTGGGGCGTGGCCACAGCTGAGGCTGCTTCCCCAGTCAGCCTGGGGCTACCTGTCTGCAGCCTCAGCCCTCTCCCAGGGCTGGTTTTAACCCTTCCAGGGTCAGAGCTGGTGACCACCCCACTACAGAAGGCTACACTCAGAAAGACCTCAAGACTTCTGGAATATGCTGCTCAAACAGTTTCACTTTTGTTTCTACTGCCTGTCCTTCCCATCTCACATTTATCTCCAGACTTCTTCTCCTTGTCCAGATTTATTCCACCCCAACAATCTTCTATTCATTGAACTTTTTGAAACTTTGCACTTTAGAGAGAGGTAAGGGATGGACTCTGTGTACACAAATTTACAGAGGGACAATAGGGTTGAGGTTTGTTATTTTTCACCTCTATATATTTGTGTATTTAAAAACATTTTTGCTGTTAACAAGCATGTTATCTCTGGAGACACAAATCCACAGTTTGAGAACTTCAAAACTAAGCATCTCTGATGGTATCTTCTAGACTGAGCACTGAGTCCCATTGGGTAGGTAGAAAGATTAACCTAAATAATCTATACAGAAGCCCCTGGAACCCCATAAGGATTGGGTCCCTAATCCATGAACTATTGGAACTCATTTACAAAACTTTTCTTAAAAGTTACATGAATATATTGTTCCATACTATAGATTTAGAATTAGAATTTATAATTTGTATTCCATGATGAGATATCTTTGAGTTATAATGTATCTTAATTAAAACTATCTTTCAGATTTTTTTTATTTTTTTTAAATTATTTATTTTTATCCACCCTGGGATATGGCCTGTAAGTAATAACTAAACTTTTAGTTGTCATCAATATTACTACTATTTAAGTTGCATTCTGTATCACTCAGTGGGACAATAGTCTCACCTTTAGCACTACTGCTATTTCTGTCCTATGTTTCTCTTCCATCTCCATCCTCTTCTCTGTTTCTCTCCTCTCTTCATCTGCATTTCCTCCCGTGCACCAAGTCCTAGTTCCCATCCCCTCTTGTGGTTTTCACTCTCACCACTTCATATTATAGAATGATCAATTGTGAAATAGTTAATGAAGGCATAAAATCTCATAGTTAAGATTTAAAATTAACACTTCAGTGTCATTAACAGGGGTTGGGGTCATTCACACCACTCATTGCCTTTGTGTTAGGCTATCTGTTGTCTCAGAAAGACCACTCTGAATCAGTTACAATCAGTTCTCCTTTGGATGACTGACATTAAGTACTCCTGAGGGAATTCTGTGCCAAAAAAAAAAATATTCTGCAAACAATATATTAAAATTCAGTAAATTTTAATTATCCATAAATGTGGAGGTTCCAACATGGCAGTGGGAAGCACAGGCCCCTAGCTCTATGGAAGTGGGAGATTACCCTGCAGCTCTCCCCGGACACAGAGTCAGTGATGAAGCTGCACCCAACCCTGACACAGCGCAAGGGCTGGGCCTGCCGCAGAAACACCCCGGGGCCTTGCCCCTCTGCACCAGGCCTGAGCAGGCAGGCTCAGCCCAGCAGGATGCAAGTGTGGAGGGGCTTGGTGTGGGATGAGAGGGTTCGGGGTGGGGCAATCTGGGTGTGGGTGGCTCAGTGGGGGACCAGATGTGTGTGTGTGGGGAGATCTGGATGCACAGGGGCTCATTGGGGGCATAGGCGCCAACTCCGTGAGTGCTCCTGTGTAGCCCCCCATCAGCTCCCACCCGCCCCCACAGGACCTCCCACCTCGCTGATCAGCACCTCCTCCTTCCTCCCTGTGCCTGTCAGCTGTTTCATGGTGTGCAGGAGGCTCTGGGAAGGAGGAGCAAGGGCAGGGTGCGCTCAGGGGAGGCGGAGAAGAGGCAGGGCATGGGTGGCACCTTGGGGGGAAGGGGTGGAGTGGGGGCAGGGCCTGGGGCAGAGCCAGGGGTTGAGCACTCCCTGGCACATTGGAAAGTTGGTGCCTGTGGTTTGGGGGGTTCCAGGTGTTGGGGCAATGGGACTTTGCAGGGGGGGGGGTCCCAGTGAAGGTGGTTGGGGCTCACCGGGGGCAGTCTGAGTGTGGGGGGATGGGGCTCAGCGGAGTGGTCCGGGTGCTGAAGGAGTGGGGCTTGGTGGGGTGGGGGCCAGGTGAAGCTGGTTGGGGTTCAGTGGGGTGGGGGTATGGTTGCGGGGGGCTTATAGGGATGGTCCAGGTGTGGGGTGGTTGGGGCTTGTCAGGGTAGGGGGTCTGAGTGTGGGGGGCTCAGTGGGGGCTGGTCTGGGTGCAGGGGAGGGGTCTGGATGGGGGGGTTAGCAGGGGGGTCTGGGTGCTGGGGGATGCTGGATGTAGGGGGTGAGGCAGCAGGGTTGGGGGTGCAGATGCAGGGGGCTTTGGAGGGGGTTCTGAATGCGGGGAGAGTGAGGCTCAGTGGGGGGTTGAGATTCACAGGGGTTGGGCGGACAAAGGTATTAGGATGCGGGGAGCGGGGGTGTTGCGGAGTTTCCTGCAGCTGGGAAGGTTTTTGGGGATGGGTCTACCAAGCCCCAGCCTCACCTTGCTGGGGAAGAGGGAGTCCCATTCTTCACTGCCCAGCTGGGACTAGCAGCTGGGCCTGGCACAGAGTAGGAGCCACCGGGAGGGATGTCCCTGGCTCCGCAATGATTTACCTCTCCACTGGCTGCTCCGGGTGTTCAAAACAAGGTGCCCGCTTTGCTGGAGAGGGATGCATGACCGCTCTTGCTTCCCTTTGCGTCTTCATCAGAAAGTCATTTTTGTGCAAGGAAGCAAAGAAATCTGTGGGGGACATGAATTCTGCATGCACATAGTGGCACAGAATTTCCCCAGGAGTAATTAAGGCTTCAAACTTTTTTTTTTTTTAAATGAAAGCTCATGCTTGACCTACACTTAAAATTTAGGTCAACACAGCTACATCACTCAGGGATGTGAAAACTCCACCACCCTGACTAACATAACTATGCTGATCTATGTTTCTGTTCTTGTTACTATTGCTTGGGGAGGTGGTGTTCCTACAGCAATGGAAAATCCCCTTTCAGCAGTGTAGGCTGTGTCTATTTTACGGGGTTATGCTAGCATACTACAGCACTGCAGCTATGCCAATATAGTTCCTGTAGAGTAGACATACACTTAGGGCTTGTCTTCACTACTGGGATAAGTCGATGTAAGTTACGCTACTTAAGTTACATAGCTTAGGTCGACTTACCCTGGTGTCTTCCCTGTGCTGCATTGACGGGAGACACTCTCAGGTTGACTTACCTTACTCTTCTCGGGGAGCTGGACTACTGGAGTTGATTGGAGAGCACTCTGCCATCGATTTAGCGGGTCTTCACTAGACCCGCTAAATCGACACCCGCTAAATCGATTGCAGCAGCCTTGATCTCCCCAGTAGTGAAGACAAACCCTTAAGCCAGTGGTTCTCAACCTATTTACCATTGTGGGCTGCATATGTGACCCACAATGCGTTATGTGGGCCGCATCCAATACTACCTCTATGGCCCTGAGGATGTCACATGGGCCGCAGCACAAGTGGCCTGCGGGCTGCAGGTTGAGAACCAGTGCCTTAGGCCCTGTCTACAGTAGAGAGCTTACACCTGTATTGCTGTAAGATCTCCCATGTAGCCGCTCTATACTGACAGGAGAGAGCTCTCCCATTGACATAATTAAACCGCCCCCAACAAGAGTGTCTCCAGCCAACATAGTGCTTTCCACACTGGCACTTCTGTCCGTGTAACTTATGTCATTCAGCGTGTTTTTTTCACACCCCAAGCGACATAAGTTATACAGACAAAAGTGCTAGTGTAGGCATAGCCTATGAGTCTTCAGAATTTGAATGGGCTACATAAATACATAAAGTGGGCTAGATCTTGCCTGTGGGCTAGGTGTTTGACATCTGATTACTAAAGTATATATTACAAATAAGTGTTCCTGTGCTCGGGGGGCGGGGGGGAAGTTTAGCTGACTGGAAGTAAACTAAAACTGACTAGAACTGAACTAAAGGTTTCCCATTTTACTGATGTAGTACACTTAAATATCTTATTATGGCTCAGTTTTGCAGAAATAAAATTAGAAGAGGAGTTTCTGGAGGGGAGAGAGGAATAATTTGTTTGCCTGTGAAAGGCTGCTAAAATTGAAGATTGCATCAATAATGGAAGTCAGTGGGCCAGAGAGCAAAAATGATTCTACAGTCCAGTGGTTAAAGCATCTGTTTGGGAGGAGGGAGACCTAGGAGCCAATTCCTCTGCTCCAATAACTTTCATTTTCTAGTATCAGAGGGGTAGCCGTGTTAGTCTGGATCTGTAAAAAGCGACAAAGAGTCCTGTGGCACCTTATAGAATAACAGACGTATTGGAGCATAAGCTTTCGTGGGTGAATACCCACTTCGTCAGATGCACGATGCGTCTGACAAAGTGGGTATTCACCCATGAAAGCTTATGCTCCAATACGTCTTTTAGTCTATAAGGTGCCACAGGACTCTTTGTTGCTTATTCTTACATGAAAGGCCTTAGGTGCCTAAGCCATCTGGCTCCCTTTGTGGATCACTGAGCAGCAATATACACCTACCTCTGAGAGGGGACGCTGGTTAGAAACCCCCCTCTGCATCCCTCTTTGGCTTGCTTAAGTGACTTCCCACCTAAAGGATCACATCCCTTGATGGATAGGGCCTTAGTCCCTGCTGCTGCTGTTCAGGATATACTCTCCTGCATAACTGCGGTGTTTTCAGGTCTGTGGGGCTATTGCTACGGTTGCTCTCTCAGGTTTTTCGGGTGGGAGGGATAGGAGGTGTTGCTATCACCCTCTTGGCTCTATGGGGATGGAATGTGTATGAGGGTGCTCCTGAGGTGGTTGGGGAAAGCGCTGAGTGACCGTCCGTCACTCTCTGGAGGAGAGGGGGTGCTGCCCTCGCCGGCCGCTGAGTGTGTGGCATGAGTTAGGTCATGCCCCTGCTGCTGGACATTGCGCTGAGGTGGATCCATTAACGCTGTCTGATAGATCATGGGGTTTAAATCGATTTTTATTGACCCCCTCACGCTGAGTGTGTGTGACGCACCTTGAGCTTGAGGCAAGCGGCTGCGGTGGCTGCTGCCGCCGGCGGAGGCAGAAGGGCTGAGCCGGCCGGGTGGACGGGCGGTGGCGCGGCGGGCGCTAAGACCCGGGGGACGCGTCGCTCTTAGGACCAGCCTGCAAATTCAGCGTGAGTGACTCAGTTCGCTCAGCGCACGCACGGCAGGCGGCGGTGGCCGGGGCTAGGAGCAGGTCAGTGCCGCTCGCCTTGGCCTGTTGCAGCTCTATTGGGGGGAGGTCGCGGCGCGCGCGGGTCCGCCGCTCGGTACGTACGTGCGCGCGTGCTGGGGCGAGAGCGGGCCGCGCTCCGGGCGCAGCCTCCCCTGCGCTCAGGCCTGCAGCGCTAGTAACCGCGGCCGCCTGTTGTCTGTGTTTTGCAGCGACCCAAGATGGAGTATGAGTGGAAACCCGACGAGCAGGGGCTCCAGCAGATCCTGCAGCTGCTCAAGGAGTCGCAGTCCCCGGACACTACCACGCAGAGAGCTGTGCAACAAGTATCCTTGGCCGGGGCCTACCGCGGAGCTGGGGCCGGAGTCGCTGCGTGCCGCGCGGAGGCCGAGCCAGTCGCGCAGTTGAGCGCTGGTTGCTGTTTCCACGGGTTCCGGCTCCGCTTCTTCCTCCGTCTCGAGGGGGAAGGACGGACAGGGGGCTTCCCGGGTTGGGAAGCCGGGCGGTGGGCGTGAGGGGCGAGGCGAAGCTCCCGGGGAAGGGGAGAGGGGGCGGTGGCTTCTCCGGGTTTCAGGCCCCGCTCGGTGGGAGGGAGCCCCTACAGCGCTGCGAGCGGCGCTGGAAAGACCAGCGAGCCGGGGGCGCTGTTGGCTTCACCCCCGCCCAGGCACTGAGGTGGGCGGCCGTGGCGCGGGGTTTGAACCGCCGAGGGAACCTGTGGGCGGTAATGTTACCCGCCTCCCCCTTCTGGCCCCCGGCCCGAGCACCTGTTGCAACCCGGGAGCTAAGTGGAGCTTTTCTTTTTAAAGCCTTGGCCGGGCCATGCCGCTCTGGTGTCCGCCACTTTCCCGGGTTACCCCACGCTGGGCCTCTGCCAGCCCCCAGTTGCAGCAGCTCTGGGCTTGCCTTCCCTTCCCGGAGTGCTCCCCGCGCCCTACGGCCGTGCACTGGCCTCTTTCCATAGAGGGCTTGGGTGGATCCCGCCAACAGGGTTGGGGGCAAACTGGACACAGGATTTCTAGTTGAGCAATGCTGCTCCTCCCCCAGCCCTGCCTTGTGGGGCTAAGCTCTGTGATGTCTCTAGTCCGCTCTTTTCTCGGGAGTCAGCCGTGGGAGGAGGCTCGGGCCGCTCATTTAGCAGGGCATGTGGTACTAGCATCTCTGTCAGAGTGCCCCTATCTTTTGTGTATGCGTGGTGGATATGGGGGGAGAGGGGCCCTGTTACATGTCCTAGTGCTTTTATAGAGAATGGAACAAGCATAATCTGGTTGTGATAGTAGCTGATCTTTCTATTGGCCTCTTCAATCTATAGATGAAAGTTCAGGTTTTCCACACTGTGAAAACAGTACTGCTTGCAAGGAAGACTTTTGAAAGAGTGAATTGTTATATGATAAACCACAGAAGGTCACCTGCCAAAGGAAAATGGATTTTTGTTTGTTTCTTGGATTCCTAAAAAAAAAAAGCACTTTTAGCCTTGCTTCTATTTTTATATTCGCAATTTTGATTTTGTGCACTCTGAAAGTCTCCAATGACTGTAGAGGTGGAGTGATTAGTCAGACCAGCTAAACCTTTGGCAGAAAAATGTTTGTTAAAGATTCATCATCCCCTTCTCCTTTCATGAAGATATAAATACTAAAACATCTAAGAAGTCCTTCAGAAAAAAACAGGTAGACATATGTGATATTCTTGATACTTTCAAGGTATCAGATTTAACTGTCACTCTCTGCACTCCCCACCTCCAAAAAACTGGTTACTTTAAGGCTTTTTGGTCAAATTAAGAATACTTCTAATTTTATTTATAAGTTAAATATAGTTTATTTCAGGTTCTGTCTCCCTTTGTGAACTCATGTGATTTTTATAAATAAGGCTAAGATTTTGTCATGGATATTTTTAGTAAACGTCACGGACAGGTCACGGGCTTCCGTGAATTTTTCTTTATTGCCCGTGACCTGTTGGTAACGTTTACTAAAAATATCCATGACAAAATGAGGAGCTTGTCTGCAGGGTCCCCACACTGCTCGCAGCTGCGGGGGCGCACTCTGAGTTCCGGGGTCCCCGCAGCGGCTGGGAGCTCTGGGGTCCCTCCACCTCTGGCTGCCGTGGGCGGCAAGGGAACTGACTTCCACGACATCCATGAAAAAATTGTAGCCTTATTTATAATTTCATTTTTCCATTTTAAGATGTTTCATTTCTCCCCTTTTGCTGTGTGAAAGACCTATACACAAATGGGAAACTCTGCATTTGACAGTACTGAGTATAAAGTAAACCCCAAATTTAAAATAGAGAATTTTTAATCTTTAAGTTACTGTAATCATGTTGGTTGTAACAGTAGATTTAAATTGTGGTTTTTAAGTTGTCTCCTTGATTAAACAAGGTATTCTTAGATTATTAAAGGGATACTATCTTGTTCTACTTGTCTCCATTTTTAAATTAGAAACTTTTTTTTATTACTAAATTAGTTTAAAAACAAACCAACAAACCTCTCCCCAAATAAGTCTGATAGCATATTTCTATAAACTTAAATTTCTGTTGCAATGTTCTTAAACAGTTGTGTTGGTGAGTGGCATCCTGAAAAATGAAATGATTAGAAGCTGACTAAACAAAAGTGAAATTATCTTATGTAATTTCATCAAGGTGAGAAATGCTAAGCAAATAGCATAAATAGTGATAAGTAAATTGTAATTTTAACTACCAAAGATATTAATGAAGTCTTAAGATAACTTGACTGCATCCCATGTTTTTAACTTTTTGTCATTCTAGATGTTTGATGAAGGATGTAATCAAAGGGAACTTTCCTTTCCCTCCCTATTGGGAGCATTCAGCATATGAAAGATATCTAATGTATAACTTATTTTAATTTTTTTTCCATTTAGATTTCATTTCTCTTCCATTCAGTTTGCTTAAAATGGCATTAGTAGCCATTTGCTGTGCTGTGACACTCCAGCATATGCCATACCTTAAAGATGTACTCTACTGGTGTTGACCCTAGTAAGTGGTGGATTTTTACTGTTTTTATTATATGATGCAGTTTTGAAAAACCTCTTTTAATATAACTTGCAGAACAGTGCTATATAATAAAAATGCCACTTGATACATTTATGGGCCGGCTTCAGCAAGTCGCTGAGATGGCTGTCCTATCACAGCATGGTGCTTAATAATGTGTCCCAGTGGGGCATGAGCCAGCTGCTACAAACTTAAGGCACTTTAAATTGATTTTTGTTTTCTTATTAATATGGGCTGATTGCCCTTGTTGCTCTTGTGTTGGGCATTCAGACACACGTAACTAAATTAAAAACACAGGTCATGTTAAATGTTAAAATGCCTTTTAAAATATGAAGTTGTAGGCTTGAAAGGCTTATTTGTTGCAGGGTCATATTATATACCCCTGCAATAAAACAAAGGAGTGGGAGGACCCAAGAATCTGACAGTGTTGCCAATTTAGCTACTTTGTCACTAGATTTAGTGACATTTTGGTTTCCCTGGTGAGAAAATAAGTGTCAGTGACTAGTGACAAATTTAACGACTTTCACTGCCAATTTCAGTGACATTCAGAGGAAGAAGTCACCAATATGTATAGTCATAAAACATTCCCAAGCAGTTCAATAGTGTGAATAAAATCCATTCTGTGTTCCGCTTACTACATTCTGTTGCACACCAAGTCAATGTCATTATGTCTCAATTGAACATGTCCTTGGAAGGAATCACATTCCAGGGCTTCTTGGGCTGAGATCACTATAATCCGCAGGCGAGGCAAATAAATTTGTGGAGGTTAATTAAACACTTTGCTAAAGCCAGGTGTACTTTGGCGAGAGCAGCACATTAGCCAGGGCTTGTTTTTACCCAAATGTGTTATTTCTTGCTGCTCTGTAGTAGTTAGTACACCCTGTGATACAGGGAAAGATGGCTAATGAAGTGGGCTGGGCAGGGGAGTCAGATTAGCCCGCGAGAAGAGTTGCACAGATGGAAGATGGGATGGGATGAGACCGCACCGTGTGTCCCAGTGGGGCAGGGGAGTGGTCACCGTTCCTCCAGGGATGAAGCCCTTACTACAGGATCAAAGGTGGCGCTAGCTTGATTTTGCTTCCCCTTTACACCTTCCCCTGGTTTGGCCTGGGATTAGCTGTCCAGCTGTTTTTGAGAAATGAAACTCTGGAAGTGGGGGGAAGGGACCTGACTAACTGACTTTATTTATTTATTTTTAGATTAAATCTACTTTCTTGGCTCCCTGCAGCGCTAAGTTCAGGTGAATGCCCTCTTACCCCTGGCTCTGGGCATTCCCTTTCACTAACCTGTTGGCTCAAATCCAGGCTGGCAAGAAAGGGAGGCTCAGCTGAAATTAACCAATCCCAGCCAGCCTGGCTGCCCTGTACAGAGCGCCCTTCCCAATGAGCAGAGGGCTGCAGTTTCCTTCCTAATGAGCAGCGGGTGCTCTCCTGATGATGACAGTGTACTGGTGTAGTTGCTTTTGGTGTGCAACAGAATGTAGTAAGAGAGCATGGAATGGATTTTATTAACACGATTGAGCTGCTTGTGAATGATTTTGTGATTATATTCGCCTGTGTGTGTGTGTGTATATGTATATAAAATTATCTGGAAATTTTATTCAGTGACATTTTTGTCTTTTTGAGTGCTTAAACAGCTACATCTAGCGACTTAGCAGGAAGTCACCAGACAAACCCTGAAATGTGAAGTTGGCAACAGTCTCAAAGAGTGAATGAGGAAGAAGCTGTTAGAGCTGGAAAATCCTGTGGATCCTAGGCCAGTAGCTTCACTGTTGTTGTGGGGTTTCCACCTAAAACATCTCTTTTGGTTCTCCTTCCTGTTGTGCTTGCACTATATTTTTCCTTTTTTGGGGGGGGGAGGGAGAGAACGGGACAATGCAGAGGTAATAGCAAGGTTTGACTCCAGTTGATTTTTGTGGTGGTTATTTCTGTAGGTTTAAAAGTGG